CTAAAAGAAGGGAACACACTTCATGAAGAATGCATGTATATTCTCTTGGTCATAAATACACTTCTCATGATATTAAAACCATTGAGACACATGGCTAGGGTCAGCTAGGAAATGCAGCTTTTCTCTCCGTTTTATAAAGATTGTGTTATGGTATAATTATTCTTGTCTTTACAGTTGAGCATTTCACCGAACAGCAAACTTTTGTCTATTGAAATAGCATATGCCACTTAACTACTATAAGGCTCTTAAATATAAGGAACGAATACTCATTAGCAAATAAATCCCTCAAATACATTCCGCTTTTGTTAGTGCATTATTTCCTTAACAAGACAAGCAAAGCATGGTTTGGAAGGAATGACTGCCTAAAGTGTCTATTTTACACATTTCTACTCCTGCCTGGTAGAGCAGGTGCCATATATAAATATTACTCAAAAGTGAGCAGGTCCTCTGAAAGTCCAATAGCCACACTCCTATCAGTAGCCTTATATATAATCCATACCAGAAGATGCAGAAGCCATGACTATGAGCAACAAGATCAAGAGATGTTTAATCATGAAAGGATTTATAATCTACAAGGGTACTTAAGCTGAGCGTTTGCTTAAAATTATTTATGCAAATGTTATCATTGTATTGACAGCTATGTACATTGAGGACTGTTGAGATTTAAATGACAGAAATGGGCCGGCGCCACGGCTCAATAGGCTAATCCTCCACCTAGCGGCGCTGGCACACAGGGTTCTAGTCCCGGTCGGGGCGCGGGGATCTTTCCCAGTTGCCCCTCTTCCAGGCCAGCTCTCTGCTGTGGCCCGGGAGTGCAGTGGAGGATGGCCCAAGTGCTTGGGCCCTGCACCCCATGGGAGACCAGGAGAAGCACCTGGCTCCTGCCTTCGGATCAGCGCGGTGCGCCGGCCGCAGCGCGCCAGCCGTGGCGGCCATTGGAGGGTGAACCAACGGCAAAAGGAAGACCTTTCTCTCTATCCACTCTGTCAAAAAAAAAAAAAAAGACAGAAATGGAACTTAAACGAGATTAAGAAAACAAACAAAACAACCCTCATGCACCTGGAAGGGAAGCTGGGTGGCTCAGAAATCATAAGGCAGCACTGCAGCACCAGGGCCTCAGGATCAGAACCAGGAACATCTTCCTCCCAGGAGTCTTTCAGGCTCTCCAGTCGTGTAGCCCAATTTAGCAACATGAGCAGAGCATCAGTCTTGCCAGATTTCTATAGTAGAAAGGCCCAATGTCCTTTATCCACCACACCCCCCGCCCCAAGTCCTGCTACAGTTATTGCATATTGTGACTGATCCAATCTGGTGACCCTTATGGACAAAAAGTAGAGACCTGAATCAACCCCATTAGGACCTCATGCAGTAGTGACTTCCCTAAATCTACATGGGCATTGCTATGTAAGTGGGATAGAAAGACTGGTGACCCTAGCCATGCCAACTTTGAGGCAGAAGTTTCTGGTATCTATTGGGGGCTTCAGAGTCTGTGATTTTGGTTTTGAAAATCCCGAGTTTGGTGCTCTGTGGTCTATTTCTTCTTCAGCTTTTTCCTCTTAAGTCTGGGGAACAAAATACATGTTCTCCTTAAGAATTTGTCTTAAACATGGTGTTATGGAGAAAACAGCTAGAAGTCAAAGCTCCAGATCTTTGCTATGCCATTTGCTAGTCTTGTGACATTCAGCAGTATACTTAAGCTCTACGTACCTTATTTTCATCATCTGTAAAATGAAGCTGTCCACACCCTTACAACTTTGCTCCAGAAAACAGGAAATGTATGCAATGCCTGTTCATTACAGTGGCTTCAATAATTAGTGGCTCCAATGGTTTGAATATGGCTTGTCCCCCAGAACTGATCTTTTCATCCATAGATAGGCTAATGTATTAAGAAGGTGGCCGACCTAACCCAATTATGGTGCTACAAGTGGAGCCTTTGGAAAGTGATTGGTTAGATCAGATCACTAGGGCAAGCCCCCATAATTCAATCCTGGTGGCTTTATAAGGGTAGAACACCAGATACTTAGCTGTTCTTGTCATGTGATACAGCCTAGGGGGCTCTTACAAAAGCCTGTATTATGCTGTTTGGACTTCCAGCCTCCCAAACTGTGAGCTAAATAAATGTCTTTTCTTAATAAAATAGCCCATCGCAGGTATTTTGTTATAGTGCCAAAAAGCTAATACAGTAGCTATTATTCAAAGTGAAGTGCCTCTTGGCACAATCTTAAGGTGCCTAATGTTCACAGTACTAGATCAAGGCAGTGAGGATTAAAGAAAGAACAAGACACGGTTCCTACCCTAATTGACTTGCAACTTATGGGAGAAAATAAGTCTATGTGCAATTGAAAAACCAAAGTGCTAAAAGGTAATGAGAAAAAGTGCTACAAGAGTTCAAAGGGAAAATAAATTACCATGTGCCAAAAATTTTACCTATATGTTTCAACCACTGTTGCCTTTCAAAAATTATAACTACTATGGGAGACAAATAGATAACCTTTTATAATATATTGAAAAACATGAATACAAAAACATTGAACATTAAGGGAGTAAAAAAGTGGATGAAAAGTCTCTTTCAATAAAATTTTTTAAAAATTTCATTTAAAGTAGTTATCACAGAACTATAATGCTATGTCCAAGAACATGAAGTGATACTGGTCACTACATATGAAATATGCAGCCCTTTCCTGCCACTAAAGAGAACAGACTGAAATTGATTAGATATTTCATGATGCTATGAAGATTTGAAACAAAACTATTTGTCACAATCATCACCACTGATAACTGGCTTTCCTGAATCCAGCTTGGGGAATGCATTCCCCTATTTTTCAAGTTCAGAATTGTTTAGGAAAGTCTGAGTTAGCTCCTAAGCCTACCTAGGGCACAAAAGATTTAAAAAACCAGCAACCTAGGGTAAAAGTTCCACTTTAGAATAAGTCAAAAGGATCATAGTACAACTTATTGAAATGAGGATCTGACTTGTAGCTTTTCACCTACTCACTAAAATTGAAATGATACTTCATACAGAACCACACAAAAAATCCTGGGCAGAAACGAAAGTCAGTCACTCATGCTAGCAGTTGGGGTTAGTGGTCTTCCAAGTTAGTTTCAAACTGACACATTAACTTCTCTAAGGATTCAACTCCATGGAGCAAGAGTGGTGAGGCTGTGTACTGCTTTCATCGTATCTATAAAGACTCAAGCACTTGTTTCACTCAGCTATCTATACATCACTGAAACTAAATAATCAAGAATTACCTATACAATGGTACTTCAAAAATTCTGCAGAAAAATCTTATTCTGATGCAGAAAGTCACCAAAAAAATTTAATTCTTCAAAAAGTTCACAAAACATGCATACCACCAAAAAAACCCATGAATTTTAAAGTTTGCACCAAAATAATCTTTCAATTACATTATTTTCCACACAAGTTTCAAAACGCCCTTGTACTTAACTATGTAAGATACACTGAGAGTTTTTATTGCACAATGGGATGGGGGCTAATACTGGTCCAGAGAAACTAAAGGGTTGCAAATCTACCACTTAAAATACAGGATCTGGTTCAATGCCTCACTTGATACTTAAGGAAACACATGCCTGTAGATACGCCACACTTCATTTTCCTCTAACCTTCTGCGTGATCTTTCACTTATCAAATCCCTACCATGAAATCATAACCCTCTAGAATGACCCCAAATAACTCCCATCCATAAGCTTATAGTACATTGGTTTCACCAAAGGCCCTAGAACAAAGACACAAACTATCTTACAGGACATCCTGACAAAGAGAACCCACACTTCCTCCTACAAGGTACAAAATCTCCAAGGCAACAGGGATTAGATTCTCTCACTACATATCCAACAGGCTTTAAGACCATTAACAGAGGAATATCTATTATAACCAAAGGTAATCAAAGAAAAAGAGGTGTTGGCCGGCGCCGCAGCTCACTAGGCTAATCCTCCACCTTGCAGCATCGGCACACTGGGTTCTAGTCCTGGTCAGGGCACCAGATTCTGTCCCGGCTGCCCCTCTTCCAGGCCAGCTCTCTGCTATGGCCAGGGAGTGCAGTGGAGGATGACCCAAGTGCTTGGGCCCTGCACCCCATGGGAGACCAGGAGAAGCACCTGGCTCCTGCTTTCAGATCAGCGCGATGTGCCGGCTGCAGTGCTCCGGCCACAGCTGCCATTGGAGGGTGAACCAATGGCAAAGGAAGACCTTTCTCTGTCTCTCTCTCTCTGTCAAAATTAAAAAATAATAATAAAAAATTAAAAAGAAAAATAGAGGTGAAATGATCAAAAGTTATACATTAATACAAATCATTGTTAAATTAGGCTGCTTATAAAATATAAGAATCACAAAGAGCAGCATTAGACAATTTAATTACTAAACCTAGTGATTTGAGCCAAATACATGTATTGTACATCAGAACCTTTGTAGAACGCTGCTAATAAACACTGTGTCAAAATTTTTAAGTAGTTTTTAAATCACACTTGAAAGCCAACATAAGTAACTATTTCTAACAGTTATTACTTCTGACCAAGGCAAAAAAAATTTACTTAAGACAAATAGCTTTTGTAACACTCCTAAAAATAGGATAGTTCATAAATTTTCACAACTGTTCTTCCCTGCTGTGGACAGCCCTTGATCTTTGACTGTAAAACTTAGCAAACTTTGGCATGCTCTAATGTTAGTTTTATAAGTTACTGAAAACTCCTATAAATTTAGCATTATTTTTCAAATCTGTCTAGTGTTCCCATCCTGATGCTTAAACATTTAAGTCACAAATTGAAATACCAGCAGAAAAATATTCATCTTTAGGCAGGTTGTATAGTTACCATATGGCAAGAAAACACAGAGCATAAAAATTCTTCAAAGCATTATGAAACTTGGAACTTAGTATACTTTCCTACATTTTAGTAGTTCCAACTATATATAAAACAGAACTGCTGTAAAGATTGAGCTGATTTAAGCTACCTCAAATTTTCTTCAATTCCTGACATCAATATTAGATTGATTGTTTTATTATAGTAACAAAGTTGTTACAGAAAGATCTACACACATATACAGAATTATTATATTTAAATTCATATAGAACAATATTTACATTTTTAAGTTACAGTTTTGAAAAAAGAAGAACAGCTTAAGTTTTACAACATAGAAAAGAAAAATATACAAGACAAAAATAGAGTTAACAGTAAAAATACAACTATTCATTCTCGGTGTAGCAATCTGGAAACGTCAAATGTGGAAATGGCAAAGAGCTATATCTTCTTAATCTGATTGTCCAAATCATTAAAATATGGATGATTTAGTGCCATTTTGCCAGAAATCCGTTTGGCAGGATCATAGACTAACATTTTCTGGAGGGGGAAAAGAAAAAAGATACTTATTTATTAAATGAGTCATTTTTTAAAATCTCCTTTAATCCTTAACTTTTTTTATCAATAAGCCCTAATAATTTCAGTGAAAATCTACTAAAAGAACATCTCCATTAATTTATTACATAAATGTCTTATCCCTCAGAGTTCACCCTGTAGCTCCTAAATCATAAATATCACAATAATTTTTGTTAAATTATCCTAAGACCCAAGTATTCAAAGATAGCTTTAAAAGCATCACATAAATTTAGGAAAGATACCTAGTTAATTATATTTATGCTGAGAATTAAATGACCATCTGAGTTATTTATAACGTTCTTCAATGGTGACAATTAACTACAGTTGTTTCTGCTATAGCTTCTAACAAGTTCCACATTAAAGAGAAAATCCACAGCATAATGTGTTATACACATGGCCAAAAACGAGTCACTAAATGAATAATGGTCAAACAACCTAGTATTAAAGTTAATTTACACATCACCAAAAAAGCTAAAAAGTTGAAGACGGATTTTAAATTTTATCTGAAAGAACTATTAATCTTAAAAAAGAAAATCAAATCAAGAAGCAGACTACAGATACTTTTACTAACAAATCATCATCCTAACCCTTAGGTATTCAGCACTGTATGAAGTGTTTTGGCTACTTATCCCTTACAAGATTGGCATTAGTCCCACTATACAAATGAGGACCCTGAGGCTCAAAGGCGTTCATTTGCCCAAGATCATATAATAGCTAAGGAATGACAAATAGGAAATCATGTCCAATTTAAGAAGTGCAGTGATGGTTCAACTGGGGAAGACTTTGCCCATAAGGAGACATTTTGGCTGTCCTAAGTGGGGAGAGTGTTCTACTGACATCTAGAGGGTAGAGGGCATAGATGCTGCTAAACATGCTGTGATGCACAGGACAACTATGTGGATCAAGATGTCAATTATGGCTACAGAGAAACCCACTTTCCGGTATTTGACTTTTGTTTCCTTAACTGAAATAAAATCAAAGAATTGTAGAAGTCAGAAGAGCAGCCTGGCCAGAACTGTAGAAGAGCCTCAAGTCCAATCAACAATACTAGCATACTGTACCAAAGACCTGAATGGCAGATAAAGGACTCTGGCAGTCACTATAAGCAACTGAGAAAAATCTAAATCTGACCTTAATTTGGTTGTATGATTTACAGATGGTAAGCTTCCTGGAGAAGGCCTTTCCCATCCTAAGAGGTTCTACTCTATTTTTTGCTTATTTGTAAAGAAAATCATTAAATGGCAGAAGTAATGTGAAAGAAGAGAAAGATTTTTAAGAGATACAGCAATTCTAACCTTTCTGATAGAGAAACAAGTGAGATATGGAATTCATGCTGTAAACTCCTTTATTAACTAAAAACAGCAGGCAGTAAGAAAATACTTGACTAAGATAGACTAAAAAGGAATTAATAGTAAATGACAAAAAAAGCTGAGAAGGAAGCCACCACAACTTAGCAATTCAAACTGCCTATAGTCATCTCACATAACAAAAACCAAAACCCTTCTCAAAACCACTACTGTTTCTTGATGTCTAAAACGGGGCAGTAACACAATAGAGTATTCCCCAGGTAAACAAAGGACTGAATGAATATGTGCAGAATCATCAGTAAGGTTAAAGTATAAACGGCACTGCTTACCGAGAGCAAATCCAAGCCATTTTCATCCAAATTTTTGACATGAGATGCCAAGCTTCCTGGTTTCCACTTAGGAAATGTATTCTTATAGTCCTGTAAGGATTCCACTTCTGGCCACACTTCGTTATTGGGCGTGCCCAAGGCTCTAAAAGCCATTGCAAAACATAACATCAGTTAAAGCATAAATATCATCTTTTTACATACATGTTGCCTGCATTACTTCAAACATGGTAGCAATTTTGGTATAAATAAATACCTGAAAATCCTGAAGAGCTGATCAATTTCTGAATCTCCATGGAAAAGTGGTTTCTTAGTTGCTAATTCTGCAAATATGGTGCCTATACTCCAAATGTCAACTGGAGTAGAGTAACGAGCTGACCCCAGCAATACTTCTGGAGATCTATACCAGAGTGTTACTACCTATTACAAAGCAAATTTTTACAGAAAATAAACATGGTGCACCAAATTACCTACATTTAAACACTTATATTTCATTAGGCTGGCTCTTTAGAAAGCTGTTAACACCAAGTTAATAAACTATATACAGAACACTAAATTGAATGTCACTTCTAACTTCTACACATCAAGAGAAAAACAGACAAAAGCATACCAAATCTTTCTTGTTTTTCTTATCATTAAAATGAGATCATCAAAGCATGTTATATTTTAAAAAAATGACAGTGGATTTAGGAGTGACACTATACAAACTGCTGCACTGCTTACTGCTAGCATGTAACTAGTCAAATAATAATTTATTAGTAATCTAGAATTAAGCCAACAGTTCTGTATATTCAATCATGATGATACCATTTCTAACTTAGAACAAAGCTAATGCGTTCAGAGGCTGACGCTGCCACTTGGGACAGCTGCAGAGCACCTTGGTTCAGAGTACCAGTCACTAAAATTCCAACCCAGCTTCCTGCTAATATACCTGGGAGGAAGGAGAATAATGGCCAGAGCACTTAGGCTCCTACACCCTGGCTTCCACCTGGCCTGGCCCTGACTATTGCAGACATCTGGGGAGTGAACCAGCAGATGGAAGACCTGTCACTCTGCCTTCCAAATAAATAAATCTTTCAAAAAGCTATTAAGATTAGTAGCATTTGTTTAAGCCACAGAGAACCAAATAATCTTACTTATATAACCATGGGAAATAATAAGTCAAGACATCAAACCAAAGGAATGTGGTTAAATTTCACTCGAGACAATCTCTGTGCTGAGGGATGCACAGCTGCACAAGACAGTATGTTGCCTTTCCCTCCAGAAATGGGAAATAAACGCCAAGTTATCCAGTTAACACTGCCCAACCACTATTATACTCAAATTCAACAGCTTCTAAACAGCCCCGCTTAAGAAACAAAATTTGTTTTTTGATGTATCAAGCAGGTCCAATTAGGATAGAGGAAACAACACGATCATTAAATGGGAAAAGTTTAATATGAAGAGTAAGACTGGTTTGTAAGAAATATTTGTAAAAGATACACACTAGCAAGAACTTCCTTCTAATATCCTCTACTGACAAATCTTAATACAGCAACTGGCAAAGAAAAGTCATATTTAAAGGTTCCAGTTCCATCTTCACATAGCATGCAATGCCTAGTAAATTTGGAACTGAGAGGCAATAAACTGAGATATCGTTACAAAGTAGAAATCTTTCTGTATAGCTTTTTTACTTGATTTAATGAAATATAGAAAACCCAGCAATCACACATATTCAAAGCACCTAAACTGACTAGTCTACTTACCTCATGTGTATACACTCTAATAGGTATTCCAAAAGCTCTGGCAAGGCCAAAATCAGCCAGTTTAATGGTTCCTTTGTCATCAATCAATAGATTTTGAGGTTTTAAATCTCTATGAAGAACTCTTCTAGAGTGACAAAACACAATCCCCTGTAGGATCTGGTATAAATAACTCTGGAAGAAGAAATTATATATAAAATTTATACCATATGATTTTCTAAATAATTTTCATTGGTTTGTTTCAAAGACAATGCAGAAAAATAATTTAACTACCAAAAAAAGCTTTCACGTCACTCTAGACTGATAAACATTGCGGGGTAGGACATTCATGTATGCAAGAGGTCTTCATGGAAAATGCACATATAAACAAACAAAGCATGAATTTCAAGGGTTTTTTTTTTTTTTGCACCAAATTAAACTTACAATTCCATAGTCAAACAAATGTTTTGAAGTACCTTCACACAATGATCTGATCCTAAGTCTTAAGATACATTTCTAAATGGAAATTTCTTGGGGCAACAGTTATGAGCCACAGGTTAAGTTGCCACTTAGGACACCTGCATATCTGAGTGCCCGGGACCAAGTTCTGCCTCCAACTCTGATCCAGCTTCTTACTACATACAGCAGATGATGGCCCAAGTGCTTGGGTTTCTGCCACCGATGTAGGAGAAACATGGGATTTCCAGCTCCTGGCTTTGGCCTGGCCCAGCCCCAGCTGTTGTGGGCAAACTAGCAGATGGAGAGCTCTCTCTGTCTCTGTCACTCTGCCTTTGAAATAAATCAATCTCAGGGCTGGTGCTGTGGCTAGCGGGTTAGCGCCCTGGCATCCCATATGGGCCTGGGTTCAAGACCAGGCTGCTCCACTTCCAATCCAGCTCTCTGCTGTGGCCTGAGAAAGCAGTAGACGGCCTAAGTCCTTGGGCCCCTGCATGGGAGACCCAAAGGAAGCTCCTGGCTCCTGGCTTCAAATCAGCGCAGCCCCCGCCATTGCGGTCAATTGAGGAGTGAACCATCGGATGGAAGACCTCTCTCTCTGCCTCTCCTTTTCTCCCTGTGTAACTCTGACTTTCAAATAAATAAATAAATCTTAAAAAAAAGAAAAAAGAAAAAAATCTCTTATAAAAGTTTCTTAAGCATTTTTTATACTTATACCAACTGTTGGTCTTTGACATTTCTGTCTTTTATCTTTACATATTCATTTTATTTTTGACAACAGTGGTCACATTCCAAGAGAAATGGCAAAAAGGATATTTAGATAATATATTTAAATGAGTGCAATTCATCTTTTAAGAAAGTCCAAAGGTCATACAATATTAAATATATTAAAGTATTAGACATGTACCATTCATTAACAAGTCAAAGACAAAAAAGCTAATGAAAGGAATATTTTCAACATGTTACCCAGCAAGAGGATCCTTGAAATCAGTGAAAAGAAACCTAATAGAAAACTTGGGAGTCTATGTCTAGTCTGAATTTAAATGGCTAAATATAAAAAACATTCAATGTCATATAAATTCTAACATTAAAATATTAATATGCCATTTTACATAACAGATTGCTAAAATGTTTGAAAGACTGATAAAACCAAATTTTGGCAATGACATACTAATAACTATTACACAACATGAATACTTAATAAATTGCAACAATGTTTTAGAGGTCAACTAGTAATAGTTATCAAGATCTTAAATGTAGATAAGCATCTTCAACCCATCAATTCCAGTTCTATAAAGTAGCATACAAGAATTATACATACAATGGTATGTACTACAACCCTGTTCTTAAGAGCAAAACCTACCAAGCCTGAAAATAACTAAGATGTCTATCAATTTGGAAATGTCTAAATAATTATATCAAAAAGATAAGCACAAGTAATTTCTATATCTGTTAACATTTGATACCAAAAAAGGTATAGTAGCAAAAAACTTTATGTACATAAAAGGGAATTTCAAAAAGTATAAAAAAATGGCACTAAAAGATAAGTCTAGGGGCAGATGTTGCAGTACTGGTACAACAGCTGTAGCTTAGGACACCCAGCTGGAGCGCCAGTTTGAATTCAGCTGCTCAGCTTTGACCAGCACTCTGTAATGTGCCTGGAACGCAGAGATGCTGGCTCAAGTATTTGAGCCCCTGCAACCTGTGTGGGAGACCTGGATGGAGTTCCTAGCTTCAGTCTGGCTGAGACCTGTTACTCTGCTTTCAAATAAATCCTTTTGGTGCAAAAATTAGGAAATCCAGGCGGTTTCTTCATAGTGTCATTTTCCATAAAATTTTGTGAAGACACCTTATATAAATAAAATCCCATGCATAGAAAAGGATACATGTTTATACATATGTGCACATAAAAGTATAAAATCATGAATAAAACTCATCAGCTATCTCTAAGGAGTGGTTCAGAGTTGTATATAATAAATGTCTACAACAAAGTAACTGAAATTTTTTTTTGACAGGCAGAGTGGACAGAGAGAGAGAGAAAGGTCTTCCTTTGCCGTTGGTTCACCCTCCAATGGCCTCCGCGGCCGGCGAGCTGCGGCTGGCGCATCGCGCTGATCCGATGGCAGGAGCCAGGTACTTCTCCTGGTCTCCCATGGGGTGCAAGGCCCAAGTACTTGGGCCATCCTCCACCTCACTCCCTGGCCACAGCAGAGAGCTGGCCTGGAAGAGGGGCAACTGGGACAGAATCCAGCGCCCCGACCAGGACTAGAACCCGGTGTGCCGGCGCCGCAAGGCGGAGAATTAGCCTAGTGAGCTGCGGCGCCAGCTCTGAAATATTTTCAAAGAATAAAATAGAGGGGATAGTGCTGTGGTGTAATGGGTAAAGCTGCCACCTGCAGTGCCAGCATCGCATATGGGCACCGGTTTGAGTCCCAGCTGCTCCATTTCCAATCCAGCTCTCTGCTATGGCCCGAGGAAGCAGTAGAAGATGTCCCAAGACCTTGGACCCCTGCATCCGCATGGGAAATCTGGAAGAAGCTCCTGGCTCCTGACTTTGGATCGGCTCAGCTCCAGCCACTGCAGCCAGTTGGGGAGTAAACCAACAGATGAAGACCTCTCTCTCTCTCTCTGCCTCTCCTTCTCTCTGTGTAACTCTGCCTTTCAAATAAATCTTTAAAAAAAATAGATCAGCTTTCCATCCTCATCCTATCCTGAACTTTTTACTTTGCTAAACACATATTTGATCAATACCAGAAAGACTATGGCGCTATGCTTTTGATATTAGTTTGAATAGTACTTGTCCCCTAAATCCTCATGTCTGTTCCTAAAGCCTCATGTAAATGGCACTAAAAGGACAAACATTTAATCCAATTATGGTGGCTGAAGATGGAGCTTTTTGGGAAAAATTGGGATTGTTAGTATGGAAACCCCATGGTCAAATCATGGTGGCTTTATGGGCTCCCCTCTTTCTAGGTGATGCCCTGTGCTACCCTGGAACTGCCAGCAAGAACACCAGAATCGTATACTGAACATAAGTCCCAAATAAAATCTCCTTCCTTTAGAAATAGCTTATCTAAGTATATTATTTTAGAACCCAAAAGCTGACTACACTTAATTTCCAAAACCGCATACTTTACAGTTATGTTATCTCAGGCACCACTTGGTAACAAAATGGCTGTCAACATATAAAGCATAAAAATTGTGGAAGGAAAACAATTTTTTTTTTCATTATTCTACTTACTAACACTTCCTCTAAGCAAATTCCCGCAAAACGCGAGGACCTCTACAGAGTAGTCTCTTCACATTCACAGAGACTAAGTATTCAAAGTTATGGGAAGACTCTTACCTTAACAAGCGAAGAATCCATGAACTGACCAGGAGGGATTGAATCCAAGTACTTCTTGAGATCCATGGAAAGGAATTCAAAGATGAGATATAACCTGGAATCTTGCATAAGCACATCTTGAAGACTGAAGAAGAAAACAATTACATGAACAAAAGTCCAGCAAGCATTTTTATCACAAAATAAAACTACTGCAAGCCTCAGTGAATATCATACAAAATGTGGGGAGATTGGTAGCTTCCCAAGTAGAGAAAACCTTAATACAAAAATAGAATTTGAGAAGGAAATCTCAGGACAATAATTTAAAATTAAACCTTCAGGCAAGCATTTGGCCTAGCAGTGACCACCAGGTTAGGATCCACACCAGAATAACCACTTTCAACCCCTTGCTCTAGTTTCTTATTCTAGTTTCCTACAAGGCAGACCTCAGGGAGGCAGTAGTGGCGGCTCAATTAGTTGGTTTCCTGCCACCCACATGGGAGACCTGAATTGTGTTCCTAACTCCTGATTTAGTTCTTGCAGGCATTTGTAGAGTTTACCAGCAGATGGGAGACTTCTCCACCTTTTTTCTCTGTCTCCCAAATTTTTTTTAAAATATTTGTTTTTATATTTATGTGAAAGGCAGAGTTACAGAGATCTTCCATTCACTGGTTCACTTCCCAGATGGCCCCAACAGCCAGGGCTGGGCCAGGCCAAAGCAGGAGCCACAAGTTTTATCCAGGTATCACAGGTGGGTGCAGATGCCCAAGGACTTGGGCCATCTTCCACTGCTTTCCCAGGCACATTAGCAGAGCTGGATTGGAAGTGGAGCAACTGGGACTTGAACCGGCTATCATATGGGATGCTGGCATTACAGGCACACTGTACAATGCTAGCCCCTAAAATTTTTTAAAAAATTATAATAAAATTCTTATTTTACAGGAGGTGTTAACTTAAATAATCTGTATTCAAAAAACATATCTAGGTTGGTTGCTCGCTGTCTTGCCACTGAAGTAATACAGAGGAATTTTAGAGTATTATCTGACCTTAAGGGCTGTTCCCTATCTCCAGCTTAGCAAAATGCAATTAAATTAGATTTTAACTTAGATCACTAGCAACATAGCTTCCCTAAAGCATCCAATTCAAATACTTAAAGGAAAGCATTTTCTGCTTTTCATCCAACTTGGCTGCCTGCCTTAGGGCTGATGAAGGCACCTCCAGAAACTAGAGCTCCCAGGCTGGGAGTTAAAGCTTTCTGAAAAGGGCTTCTTTTCTTCCATTGCTATTTTACCTTGCTTTTCAGGACCTAGTACTAATTCTTATTACCATGCCTCTCTAATAATTCTTTCACTCTATTGTTTGCTTTAAAGATTTATTTATTTCTTTGAAAGGCTGAGTTACAGATAGAGACAGAAATCTTCCATCTACTGGTTCCCAAATGGCCCCAACAGCCAGTGCGGGGCCGGGCTGAAGTCAGGAGCTTCACCCAGGTCTCCCATGTGGGTGGCAGGTGCCCAATCGCTTGGACCATCTTCTGCTACCTTCCCAGGTGAATTAGCAGGGAGATGGATTGGAAGTGCAGCAGCTGGAACTCAAACCAGCACCCATATGGGATACTGGCATCATAAATGGCTTTATCTACTATCCCATAATGCCAGCCCCTCTTTTGCTGCTTTAATAGTATTTTGCCTATGCACAGCATTATCAATTAACAAAAATGTCTCTTTTCTACTTTAGATAAAAATTAAGCAAATGCAAAAATTCTCACATTGAAATTCATTCAAAATTGTGTGTAGAAAAATGGTTTAAACTCAGATATACCATACCTGACTATATTTGGATGACGAAGTTCTTTTAATAGAGAAATTTCCCGAATTGCAGTACTAGGAACCCCTTCCTCTTCACTTTCTAGTCTGATTTTCTTCATAGCTACCACTTGGCCTGTAGTTTTGTGTCTACCCTTATATACAACTCCATAGGTACCTGAAATAGACAAAGTAAATTTCTACTATGTGACACACCCCCACAACCTAGAAGGTTCTTTAAATGATTAAATCCCGTAAGTTGCATGCAATAGAAATGTCTGCTATCAGATAGGAATTATCAACTATTCACTCATTGCTTCCAAAACGAAACTGAGGATAACAACATATCATGTATATGGCTTAGAAATAAAATTCATAGTCATAAGTTTCCCACACATATAAACTACCATTTAATGTTCCTGCATTTACAAGTAGAACTTGCACAAATTATAATGTATCTCATCAAACATCATACCCAACAATGAATCAGGTCCCAAACAGTATAAAGACTTGGACTCCGAAAATATTACTGACAAAAATCGCCTTGACATTTTCAGAGTAGCTGATATAGACAGCGTTGTGCTTTTCATGCTATTTTATATGCATCAAAAATACAATCAACAAGCCTCATCCAGAAAACAATGAAGATTCAAAATAAGACATTTAGTTATATATGTATTAATAAAGCTCACATTATCTACTACATAGTAGGAAAATTTCACACCCATTTGGAAGTGGATGAAAACATAGATAAGCTTTAGATAATGTAATAATGTCAATATAAGAAATAGAGTATATTGGGAGATGGATACATAAGAATAATAAATAGATTGGCTAGTTCGTTAAACCAAATTCACACATATGTTACACTTAGTAACCCAGCTAAGTGCTTTTTAAATTGAGGTATCAGTTTTTTAAAGGAGGTCCTGAAATCCTTAATTACATAAAAAATTTTATTTAACAGATTTTGCTTTCCATGACATCAGTATGCTTTAGAAGAGAGTAGACTACATTTCCCTAGGGAGGTCTATTCTATGGGTTTTGTCAGTTTTCCCAGAAGGTAGTGATAAAAATGACTAAGAACCACTAACAAAGTATCAACTATTTAGTTAAGATCATTAGGCTGCAAACCCATGCCACATAATCTTTGTTCTAATATTTTTAAAAGAAATTCTGCATAAGTCTTCCTAAATACCAAAATCATTTTAAAGAAATAAGATAAAAATCCCTATTATGCTACTTGACTAAATTTTGGATTGACTTTGAATCACAAAATTATTTGCATATTAAAGAACTGAGAAAACTTAATAATCCTCACAGTCATCCTACAAGTAGGTAACTTTCTGTACACTTAATTTGTATTCTTTTTGAGAGTTATATACTTACGTTAAATACAAAAGGTAGGTAAGCCAGTATACACATTCTGGCATACTGTTAAAGCTGTCAAGAAGATCATTTGCATAATATAATCAAATAAGCAGTTCATCGTAAATTCAGAATAATTTTCCTCTAATATTCTTTCCTCTCCCTTATGTATACAATCTCCTCTGGTTCCAATTTACAAAATTAAGTCATAATAATTGGTTAACTAGGAACCAACACTCAGTATTTATTGAATTAAATTTTAAAGATCATTTATGTTCTAGGTCTCTTTTTCTGAACCATCACTTCTTTCTGAGCTAACAGAATAGGAATTAAACAAAGTAGAACCATTCTATTGGTTTGTCATCAAAATTATTTACAAAATATGCCATATATGCTCTAAAATGAACACTCTAGATACAGAAACATTTTAAGTAACTTACTAATTAAGGAAGCAAAAGGGAAATACTAGCTTAATAGGATTATAGAAGAGTAACCCTAACACAGAAAAGCCTGGAAGGAGACAAATCTAACATAAACAGAAGAGTTACCCTTGGAAATAAAAAAATAAAATAAAAAATGTTGTCAGACTATAGAGGCCATGAATGGTAAGCAGAAAACCTTTCTAATAACCCAACTGCCAGGTAAAGTTCTACCATCATGAGTACAGCTACTCTCTAGAACCTGAAAGACTTTTTCTTAAGACCAGGAGTTCAAAGATTAGTATAACAAAACTCAGACTTCGGAAAACAAAAACAACTTTGCAATATTTGAAATGAGAAGAGTATGAACATATTTAAGAAATAAACTAGGTTCTCAAACATATCAAGGTCATGAGAGGAGAAAGGCAGATGGGCTGTGCTAGAGGAACTAAATACCAAATGAAATGGATTACCTTAGGTGAATCTTTGTAAAACACATGAAGGACTTAGGGGAAAGTTTACCTCTATAATTTATTTCAAATGGATCAAAAGGAAAATCAACAGCTAACACTCATAGAAATAATAAAGTTGACAAAACATTAACATCCTGGTAAAGGTACTACAGTTTCACCATATAAATCTTTCACCCTAACTGTAGCTTTAGAAATGTTCAAGGGGCCAGAGTTGTGGCGTAGCAGGTAAAGCCTGCTGTGTCAACATTCCATATGGGTGCCAGTTTGAGTCCCGGCTGCTCCACTTCCCATCCAGCTCTCTGGTTTGGCCTGGGAAAGCAGCAGAAGATGGCCCAGGTCCTTGGGTCTCTGCACCATGTTGGAGACCCAGCAACCCCTAGTTCCTGAGCAGAGCAGCTCTGGCCATTACGGCCAATTGGGGAGTGAACCAGCGGATGGAAGACCTCTCTCTCTCTGCCTCTCCTTCTCTCTCTGTGTAACTCTTTCAAATACATAAATCTTAAAAAAAATTTTTTTTCAAAGCAGGGGGCTTATGTTGAGGCACAGCAGGTTACAATGCTGCCCATAATACTGGCAACCTATGTGGGCACCATCCTATGTGGGTTGCAGTCCTGAATGCTCCACGTCTGATCCAGCTCCCTGCTAATGCACCTGGAAAGCGGAAGATGGCCCAGTATTTGGGCCCCTGAACCCACACAGGAGATCCAGATGGAGTTTCAGGATCATGGCTTGTATCTAGCCCAGCCCTGGCCATGGCTGCCATTTGGGAAGTAAACTGCAGATGGGAAGATCTCTCTATCCTCCTAACTTTTCCTTTCAAATAAAATAAATAAATAAAGTTAAGGGGAGAAAAATACCAGTATTTTAATACCAATCTTTAACCAGAGACCTGGTAGAAACAAAATAAAATCCTATGTAGAAGGTATCATCTTGGCCTCAAATTATTTCCACAAGTTCAACTAGGCACAAGAGTACCCAAAACTATACCAAACAGAAAAAGATAAAAAAAAAAAAAAGGAAAATAGTTATTACCAAATATCTGAATATCTCCTCTGGAAGTAACACTATCCCAAGCAGTGAGCACACAATGTGAACAAGACAAAAATTCTAGTGCTTATGGAGCATACAATGTAGCATTAAGGACATCAAGGAGGATGCACACAGAACTACAAAATGCTCTCTGGACTAGAAAAGGAGATGCAAAGTGAATCCAGTGGAGGGTTACTGCTTCCCAGGAAAGAAGGTCACTGCCAAAGGTCCACGGGCCAAACAGCAGAGCCAATTAGGACCCCCCCCCCCCCAAAATTACAAATTAGAGTGTCATTAGATGAGGTTACCATTGTAGAGATAGTTGGGGAGATGGTGATCACAGTAATAACAAATGGTTAACACCTGATGGTTTTCTGAGATTAAAGCAAACAGATACCTTCCATACTCTGTCATTGTACAACCATCTTGTGAGTACAATCATCCCCATTTGCAGGGGCAGAAACTGAGATCCAAGGACTTAACACTATCATAGTGTCTGAAAGAAAAGGGGTCTTGTGACTCCACTAAATGTGTGTAACATTAAATTTAAGATCATATTTTAACTGCTGTTTTTTCAGTATCAGAAATATGTAAGATTACAGAGGGAACGGAAAGGAAGGCCATCAGAGTATAATTTCAATTCTCTTTAACTGTTAATAGTAAAGAACATATACCACTGCACATTATTCCAATATTTACATGTCTCCATGATATAGATGATCATTTTTCTATTTTTAAAAAACCTGTATTTTTAAAATCACTCACCTTCTCCAATTTTCTCGATTTTGGTATAATCCTCCATAGTTAATCAGTAAGTCTGGTAGATCCTAAAATGAGAGGAAAAATAGCTTTGATTATATGGCAATAACTCAAAGGTATAGTGCTTCCTGCAATGTATAGTTAAGTATTATAAACATTAGTTATTATGTTAAAATATTTACAAAGGTAAAGAAAAAGACTCCTGGAATAAGACTTTCCCATCTTGGGGCCGGCACTATGGCACAGCGGGTTAAAGCATCCCATATGGGCACTGGTTCTAGTCCCAGTTGCTCCTCTTCCAGTCCAGCTCTCTGCTTTGGCCTGGGAGGGCAGTGGAGGATGGCCCAAGTGCTTGGGCCCTGCACCCCATTGGAGACCTGGAGTAAGTTCCTGGCTCTGGATCAGCGCAGCTCCAGCCGTAGCGGCCATCTGGGGAGTGAACCAGTGGATGTAAGACCTCTCTCTCTGTCTCTACCTCTCTCTGTAACTCTCTTTCAAGTAAATAAAAAAAATTTAAAAAAAAAAAAAAAAGATTTTCCCATCCTTCTTAGCTCTAAAACATCGGAAACGCATATATTCCATGCTGATATTAGTATTTAAAATCTTCCAATCAAATTAATCCAAATTCAGACATCAACTTATTTACTCTTCTCAAACAAAAACCAGAATGTTTTTACAGTAGTACCAGTGTATAATGGGATTACACACAAATATTTCAACAAATGTTAAATGACTGAATTTGTACAGCTTTTGGGTGTTTTTACAAAGATGCTTCAAAACAAACTTTTTTTTAAAGTCATAAGAAGGAACTAAAATGGGGTGAGGTTATTTACCCATTAAGTTTTGTTTAAAGCTTTTAAAAAACATCTGTTTACACTTGCAAATAACAATCTTTCTCCTTTGTTTTCAGCAAACATGTGAGTTTGCATATATATATATATATATTTTCCAAGAGAGGAAAATATATATATATTTGCGGAAGTAGGAAATAGCAGAGATACAAGAAAATGAAATTCCACAGTTCTAATGATCATAAAAGCTAGCAACTAATCCCTTAAGAAGTTCCATTTCTCATATTCATTGGCAAAGAAAAATCAATCCAAGAAGCGGTTTCGAAAAAAATTTTAAACGAGCAGAGCTGCACTCCCGTGGTCACGGGTGCCACTCTTAGCCATTTATAATTTTACAAAATGGCAGTGGACGCTTCTCTTTGTCCTCAATGACCAGACTGAACATACCTACAGCACACAACTGAACTCGTTTGAACAAGTAGCTAAAAATCAACTCAAAGTTGGGCTCAATTACTCTCCCACCATTACCCAGTTATAATAATTATAATAAAGGAAGCTGCCCTGTATGCCTTTCGAATGTCTCCTGGGGCTCTGTACTACCAGCTGCAGATGTAAAAAAAATTATATAAAATCAACGGTGACCCCCCCCACCTCCCTACCCAGAGACCTAAAGGTCTCAGGATTTAAGAAGTGCACGGCGCAAACTGGCACTGGATTTTAAGAAACGACTCGTACTTATTAAAATGCAAACGTGTTAATTTGCTCGGCATTTCTCAGCTTTCCGCTTTTTGCCAGCTCCACAATTAAAAAAAATAAATAAATAAAACCTCAGCCTTGTGCCTTAGCGTTCTTAAAAGCGCTGGGAGCGCGAAGGTCGCGGGCAGAGCCCAGCCCGGCCCGAGAGGGCCGGGTTCACGCAGTCGCCTCGCTCGCGGGAGTCTGCGCGTGTGAACTCGCTGGGTGCGCACCTGGCCCAGGTGCGGGCGGCTTCCCATCCCCCCGCCGGAAGCGGAGCGCGCGGGGCGCGGGGCCTGCGGCTGCGCCTGCCAGGCGGCGGGCGCTCAGCGTGCTCGACCCAACGCCTGGCTTTCTGCCTCCATCACCGCCCAGAGCCGTCTCAAGCGGGGCCGGACACCCCCGCGGGCCGACTACGAGGCCAAGGGCAGCCCCAGCCCTCCCCAGGTAACCGCGCACCGAGGGGCGCCCCCCGGCCCCTCCGAAACCCAAGCCCCGGGCCGGGCTGAGCGCCCAGCCTGGCCCTGCACCCATCCCGGACCCCCAGCCTCCCCGAGAGCATGCCCTCCCTCCGTACTCGCCGCCCAAGGGAGACCCCAGGCCGGCCCCTGGAGAGAGGACGCCCGGCAGGCACGACCCCCGCCGCCCTGCAGTAACTCTACCCGGCTTGTTATCTCCGCGGCGGCCGCGGCGCCAGATAACCACGTCCGCGAAGCTCTTCGCTCAACTTGCCAGAGCCAGCTTTGAAACTAAGTGCGAGCAGTTTCAAACTCACCGCGCTAAAGGGACCCAGACCCACCAATCACAGGGCTCGTAGACTTTCAAAGACACCAATCAGAGGCCGGCTGGGCTTGGGAGGGGCTTCCCGGGTAGCCAGAGCGCGAAAGAAAGAGGAAACGGCGGCTGGAAAAAAAGCAGGAGGGCGGGCGCCAACTGAATCAGAACGCAGGCGCCCTCTTGCATTCCAGGAAGGCGTCGTCCTCCTGTTTCTAGTCATCGGGAATGGATCGTTCGTTCTGTTTTGATTCTCTCCCTGTCTCGAACAGTTTAACTTGATGGCACTCAAACAGCTCATCACACAAGTGAAACTGAACTTACATCGAGTTGCCAGAACTTCTAATACTTAGGGGTAGTGTATACTTAGGTTTTTCTAAGTGAGTGATTTCCAGGCTAGGCCAAAGGAGCATATTTAGGTTACCTTACTAAAGAAATAATGAAAAACTCTCATGTCCACCAAAATGTCCACCAAATTGTAAACAAAAATTTCCGATTTTAAATTTATATGCGTATGCATACATAGCTGTGGTTGTTTTTGACTCATCTATAAAACTTTTGAACTTACAGTTTTTTACCTAAATGTTTACGTAATGAAAACAATTTTAAGAGGGAGGGTTGGGGAGAGAAAGATCCTCCATCTGCGAGCCAGGAACTCAATCGGGTCTCCCACATGGATGGCAGGGGCCCAAGTACTTGAACCATATCTGTGACCCACCACAATTACATTAGCAGGAATTGGAAAGAGCAGAACAGGGACGGGGACCCAGGAACTCCCACGTGGAATGCAGGCATTTTAACTTCTGTGCCAAACACTGCCCCTATTTATTAGAATTTTTTTTTTAAAGATTGTGCTTTTTTTTTTTTTTTTTTTTTTTTGACAGGCAGAGTGGACAGTGAGAGAGAGAGACAGAGAGGAAGGTCTTCCTTTGCCATTGGTTCACCCTTCAATGGCCGCCACGGCTGGAGCGCTGCGGCCGGTGCACTGCGCTGATCCGAAGGCAGGAGCCAGGTACTTCTCCTGGTCTCCCATGGGGTGCAGGGCCCAAACACTTGGGCCATCCTCCACTGCCTTCCCGGGCCACAGCAGAGAGCTGGCCTGGAAGAGGGGCAACCGGGACAGAATCCGGCGCCCCAACCGGGACTAGAACCCGGTGTGCCGGCGCCGCAAGGCGGAGGATTAGCCTAGTGAGCCGCGGCGCCAGCCTATTTATTAGAAATTTAACAAAATTTTAATGTTTTAAATTTTCACAACAGAATTGTATACATTCTTTGTTTTTAAAAAAGATTTATTTATTTGAAAGGCAGAGTTACAGAGAGAGGAGAGATAGAGAAGAGAGATCTTCCATCCAGAGATTCACTCCCCAAATGGCCGCAGTGGCCAGGCCAATCCAAGAGCCAGAAGCTTATTCTGGGTCTCCCACATTGTGTACAGGGGCCCTAGGACCTGGGCCATCCTCTGTTGCTTTCCCGGGTGCATTAGCAGGGAGCTGGATGGGAAGTGGAGCAGCTGGGACTAGAACTGATGCCCATATGGGATGCTGGCACTGCAGGCTGTGACTTTAACTCACTGTGCCACAGCCCCAACCCCCTTAAACATTCTTTTTTTTTTTTTTTTTAAGAATTATTTTATTTATTTGAAAGACAGAGTTACAGAGAGAGGTAGAAACAGAGAGGTCTTCCATTCCACTGGTTCACTCCCCAAATGACTGCAACAGCCAGAGCTGAGCTGATTCAAACCCAGGAGCCAGGAGCATCTTCCGTGTTTCCCACGAGGGTGCAGGGACCCAAGAACTTGGATCGTCATCTACTGCTTTCCCAGGCCATAGCAGAGAGCTGGATCGGAAGAGGAGCAGCCGGGACTTTAAACCACTGCGCCACAGCGCAGCCCCTTAAACATTCACCATTCTATGAGAGAAGAAAAAGAGATCTAAGCTGGGTTTTTAAACAACCTAGTATGAAAAACTCTTCACTGCCCTGCACCGTATCTTCTTTCCACCATTTTCTTAAAGAGAAACTTCAAAACCATCCCTAAGTCTTTACGAAAATAAGAGTAAAATAGAAGTGGGGATAATGAAAGTGCCCTAGCATGGGTGTATCATTGTCCTGCCCCTAGTGAGACTAACACAGACTGATCACTAAACACTCTACAAGTATGTATTAGACAGCTTAGGTAAAGAGCGGAATCAGTATAGGACATGCCTTTGGGTGTTCGGTACCTTTTTACACGTAAGCCATGTCTGTCACCCGCCCTAGGTGTTGCATGAGTGCTCAGTCTTTGCAGTTTTTTGCTCCTAGGTTACAGAGGCAGAACATTTGAGACCCGAGGTGGAGGTCGGGCCTTAAGAACCCTGCACACTGTCCTAAGTGCTCTGAGCAGGAGAGGTACAGACAGCCTCAAATTGTATTGTGGGAGAAATTTTGGAGAGGTAGTATGAGAAATGAACTGAAGAGGAGATGATGGAAATTGTATGTGCTCCAAAAAGGTTTGTATTCCTATTCTGGAGAGCTCTATTTTGAATGGAAAAACAAAGGTCACTTGGCACTGCAAGTGTTTTTGATTGGTTGGTTTGTTGGTTGCTTGCTTGCTTTTGTTTTAGAGACAGAAGTGTTGCTGTGGACAAGATGTTTTTGGATTGAAGGATGGCTTTTTTTTTTTTTTTTTTTTTGGTGTGAGTAGGGGAATGACATTGTGAGATGCGGGAGTTGGGAGGGGAAGATCATTGAGAAGGGATGGGGAGGTGACATCAGAGACAGGTGACTAGTGGAGGGCTCTGCAACCATCCCAGCAGATGTGAAACCAAGGGAGGTGGGGGTCAGTTTCAGGAAGTGGAAATCATGATAGTTTTAGGAGCTATGACTGTGGTGGATAAAAGGAAAAGGGTCATCAGTGATGACCTATGTGTGCAGCTTTTGAACCGGGCTGATCACACTGCTGGTTTGGAGAGAGCATGAGGGCCAAAGGTGGGTGTGTGGTATCACTGTGGGCATATTGACTATGTGGTTTGTGTGAACTATACATATGGCTCAAATGGCCAAGGTTCCATGGAACCTGACATGTATATCTTTTTGGAGATTGCTATGGTCTGAATATATCTGTCCCTCAGAAATTCATTTGTTGGAACTTAAGCCCTAAGGAAATGATATTAAGAGATGAGGCCTGGGGCTGGTGCTGTGGTGCAGCAGGTTAACGCCCTAGCCTGAAGCAAGGCATTCCATATGGGTGCTGGTTCTAGTCCCTGCTGCTCCTCTTCCGATCCAGCTCTCATGTGTGGCCTGGAAAAGCAGTAGAAGATGGCCCAAGTCGTTGAGCCCCTGCACCCACGTGGAAGACCTGGAAGAAGTTCCTGGCTCCTGGCTTCAGATCGGCGCAGCTCCGCCCATTGCAGCCATCTGGAGAGTGAACCAGCAGATGGAAGACCTTGCTCTCTGTCTCTACCTTTCTCTGTAACTCGGTCTTTCAAATAAATAAAACAAACCTTTGAAAAAAAAATAAAAGAAGTGAGACCTCTGGGATGTGATTGATTTATGGGGGCTTAACTCTGATGAATGGGATTAATACCATTATAAAAGAGGCTTCAGGGGCAGGCATTATAACCCAGTGGGTTAGGCTTTCACTTGGGATGCTTCCATCCCATGTCAGAATGTCTAGGGTAGAGTCCACCTCCACTTCTGATCCAATTTCCTGCTAATATGCCTCAGAGGCAGTAGATGATGGCCCAGGTACTTGGCTTATACCACCCATGTCAATGACCCAGATTGAATTCTGGGCTTCTGGTCCAACCCTGCCTATTGTGAACATTTAGGGAGTAAGCCAGTAGATAGAAGATCAGTATCTCTCTCTCTGCTTTTCAAATACATAATAAATAAAGCTTTAAAGATAAATAAACAAAAGAGGCTTCAGAGAGCTTCCTGGGTCTTTCCTGCTTTTCTGCCTTGTGAGAACATGGCATCCACCCCATCTGCCCTTCCATCATTTGAGGACACAGAAACTTGATGCTGTCTTGGAAGCAGAGAGCAGCCCTCACCCAACACCAAATCGGCTGCCATCTTGATCTTGGAATTTTCTGTTGTTTAGAAATCATCCAGTCTATAGTCTTTTGTTACAGTAGCAGGAATAGACTAAGAAAAAGAATGTATAAGTTAGTATGACATGGAATAAGAAATTAGAAAATTTTAAAAGTTGAGATTATGTAAAAATCACAAAATCCACAAAAAGTATATTATTGTTTGTCTTTTTATGGTTATATTTAATTTTTTATTGATAATTTGTATTTACTTGAAAGGCATAGAGAGACAGAGAGATCTTCTGTCTACTGGCTCACTTTGTTGACACCTGATACAGCCAGGGCTTTACCAGGTGGAAGCGAGAAGTCTGGAACTCAATCCAGGTCCCAACATAGGTGACAGAGACCCGGGTACCTGTTGCTTTGAGGGTACATTAGCAGCAAGCTGGACTAGGACGCAAAGTCGACTTGGACACAGGAATGTTAATACGGGATGCGGGTATCACCAATAGTGTCTTAACTGGTGAGCCAGGTACCTACGCCTGGCTATATTTTTTGGAATAATATATTTTTTAACGATTTATTTATTTATTTTAAAGTCAGAGTTACACCGAGAGAGAAGGAGAAGAGGATAGAAAGCTCTTGCATTGCGGGTTCACTCTCCAGTTGGCCACAACAGCCGGAGCTGGGCTGATCCAAAGCCAAGAGCCAGGAGCTTCTTCCAGGTCTCCCATGCGGGTGCAGGGGCCCAAGGACTTGGGCCATCTTCTACTGCTTTCCAGGGTATAGCAGAGAGCTAGATCAGAAGTGGAGCAGCTGGGACTTGAACTGGCGCTCAGATGGGATGCTGGCACTACAGGCGGCAGCTTTACCATTACACCACAGTGCCAGCCCCTGGAATAATATTTTAAATGATTACTTATCTGCCCACTTAATAAGCTCTTTTACTCTTCTTCTTCATGTGACCTAATTTTGTTATATTTTCTATGTTGAGAAAAGAAAAGATAATTCAGTCTTTTAGCCAATT